TTTGCATTTGCGACATCTGGACTGCTTTTCGCGAGCTTGAGCTCCATTCTCCACTGTGCTTGCAGCTCTTCATTCAGCGTGGTCGTTTGCATTTGCAACATCTGGACTGCTTTTGGCGAGCTCGAGCTCTATTTGCCACTGTGCATGCAGCTCTTCATTCAGCGTGGTCTTTTGCGACTTGGCGGCTGGCGGACTGTGACCACCTCCACTATTACTGTGTCGAGAAGTCATGTTGTCAATATGATGAAGAGGCGCGGGATTGTGGCAGAATGAGAAGCGCGAGCAGCGCAGCTTGTGACCTCAGCGAAGAAAAAGCTTATTGATGGACAAAACGCCATAGCAGGAGCTGCTAGCTGGTGTGGGATCTCGACGGAAGTGGTCATCAAGAATTCTCCGATGCACTGAGCGGCAGCGCAGGAAGGCTGGTGTGCATCTGCTTTGCAAGCGTAACCTTAGCTCGTACGTGAACTCTCCCGCTCAGCGCGCTTCTGCAATTGCACTCCCATCTAGAGGCTTTTGTGCAAGCTCCTTTGCAGTCTCAATGCCCAGGTGTAGGTCATGCAAGCCATTCAGACAAGCAAACCTTGCAACACTTTGATTAACCTTGGCAAGTTCCAGCTCCATGCGCCACTGTGCATGCCCCTCTTCACTGAGCATATTCTGCTGTGACTTGTGTGAGCTTCACAGTATATGGGCAAATTGTGACAAAGACGACTCCTGTTGGGTCAAATCATGACTTTTGTCACAGATCAGCTTATCCATAAGTCACGTATCAAGCCACTTACCAAGATTGGGGACTGAGTCTCCAAACGACATGCTGATTGGTACACTAGGGCCAGCACCGCCGCGCCAAACTGCTTGGCAAGGGCCCTCTAGAGAAATACGCAGGGAGGAGTGAATGTCGGTGTCTCTTGAAGCAGCAGAAAGGAGAACCGACGGTCTGTGTTCAAGGCAAGGCTGCTTGGCTCAGACATTCCTCAGGAAATATGATCATGGTAGATCTTTCTATGGAGGCATATAAGGAGGTGTGTGCAACAAAGAGCTTCTTGGCAGTTCTGTAGCGCTTTGCGGTACTTACACGCTGAGATGTTGATGAGGTGTGCTAAGAGACTGCAAACACTGGGCTCATCCTGGCAATGCTTCTCTTACTGCCACCTGAACCTTCCTCATCTTCTGGCACATTGAATTTGCTCTCCTGTGGCCTGTTGTCCTTACCACTTGACTTGACCTTGACAGAGAAATCAGAGCCCAGCAGAATAGGGCTGCCTTCCAAACAATTGGTGATGGGACCCATCAAGGGTCAGATGGGCAATGTAGGGGAAGTGGACAACATGAGCGAGAGCGCACCTTCTCTGAATGGTCTTGAAATCAGTGGACTTGTTGGCAGCCTGCAATCCTAGTAAACATCATCTGACACTTGGTGATCCAGCTCGCCTTGTGGAGCTTGCTGGAGTCCAAGCTGGAGTCTTGATATGCATCTTGCCTAGAATCTGTTCATGTTGGGTCCGACCCTGTGCTTGACAATGTCAGCGGAAGTCTCATGCTCAGAGATCTTCATGAAACCCACTTTAGCTAGATTGGGCAATGCTGGAGTCCAGTGGACCACAGGTACTGTCAAGTAGAGGTCTTTGAGCAATGTGTGCTTGCTTGAGGAGACCTCCAGTCCAGACTATTCAAGCAAAGGCTACTCACCTGCAAACTGCTCTTGAATTGGCCACTCATACTTGCAAGCTGATCAAAGACTCAACAGCCAAGTGGCAGCTGGCCCTTGACTTTGCTGCAAGTGCCGGAGGGGAACCTCAGCTGGAAAAGCGTAGAGGTCTGCACAAAGAGCATGCTGGAGCGGAAGCCAGAGCTGCTAACAACATGGCATACCTCAGAGCTTTGAACAAACGATGGGATTGGTCAAAAGCAGACCAGGTCAGTGCCCAGTGAATTGAAGTGCTGCGCCTGTACTGACACGGCTCTTTGGACAATTGACCAGATTCACGACCTGCAGGCGCAGTCCAATCTCACCAGCCTAGAGCTGCCCAATTTGGAAGACTTCCCATTGAGGGACCACAGAACCAGCTACGCGGGCTTATCCTCGCAAATGATGATGGTACGTTGCACAAACGATGGGATTGGTCAAAAGCAGAGCAGGTCAGTGCCCAGTGAATTGAAGTGCTGCGCCTGTACTGACACGGCTCTTTGGACAATTGACCAGATTCACGACCTGCAGGCGCAGGCCAATCTTACCGGCCTAGAGCTGCCCAATTCGGAAGACTTCCCATTGAGGGACCACAGAACCAGCTACGCGGGCTTATCCTCGCGAATGATGATGGTACATTGCAAGGGGCGCTCACCTTTCACCTGGCAGCCCCACACTGATGCAAGCTACTCCGTTCTCCCGTGACAGGACTTTCTGAGGGAGCTGCAAGTTAACGCTCCCGAGACGGTGCGGGCGGCCGCGGAGAACACCAATTGGTTATGATGCAGCGCTATCGCTGTTGGGCGACAGGTACAGGTGGGGTCGCTCTCAGGGAAGCCGGACCAGCCTTCAGGACGGGCAAAGAGATCACCTCGAGAATTCCATTGACATTGTGCTGTTCTAGCCCTGCTTGCTCCCTCACTGAGGATAGATGGAAAACAGTGGGTGCTGCCAGACGTGTCCATCGACTGCTGAGCTCACCTTGACCTCTGCCATCACCGCTTGCAAGAAGGTCACTCCAGTACAATCCTTGTAGCTGCCAGTCTCAGGACTCTCCATCCCGAATGCAGCTCCAATCGTCTGAAGAATGTCGTACTGGAGACCAAAGAGCATTGGTGTCAGGGTCACTGCCTCTTGCAGATGCTCGTTCGGGTTATGCCACTCACGTACTCCGTTGGCCCAATCGCCTCTCTATATCCCGCACGATCCATGGCCCCTTCAGCCTCTACGCTGCCTCCCTCCGCCATCTCGCAACGCCTCCGAAGACTCGAATTCTCCTTCTGCATGACCTCTCGATAAATTGAATTCGAGAGCGCGTCTTCTTGCTGACTGTCGAGCACGCGCTCCAAGTTCCTGACGCGGTCGTCGGTGGTTCGACCAGTCAAGTACTCGTTGCGCTTTCTCAAGAAGCGGACCTCATCCCACAGCGTCCGCATCTCGGCGTTTCGCTCCTCAATGTCAGCGTGACTCATGTGGGATTGGATCAAGGCACGATGACGCTCAACTACGCGCTGGTGATCCTCTGCCAGGCCATCCTTGAGCTCTTTGGGGACAGCTTCGAGCCTCTTGACCTCGTTGGCCCGTAGTGCCAGCGCTTTCCACTCAGGACCCCACTTGTCCTTGTACTTTCGAGCCTTTTTAGTCTGCCTCAGGGACCCCTCCGCTTTGGCAAGAGTCTTGAGCGGCTTGCGCTTCTTTGAAAGTTGTGCAAAGGCGGAGGCGGCAGCTGAGGCAAAGGTCAAGCGCATAGCGGTGCTGGCACCAGCCGCGGGAGAGGGAGTGGGAGCGGGAGCGGATGTGGGAGCGGGAGCGGATGCGGGAGCGGGAGGGGGCGTGGGAGAGGGAGCGGGTGCGGGAGAGGGAGCAGGAAGGGGAGCGGGCGCGTGAGCAGGTGCGGGACTGGATCCAGACGCAGAAGAAAACACTGGCTTTGCGCTTGTAGAAGCCATGATGGCTGACTGGATGAAAGTGTTGAGTGCTCAAACGGGAGCTCTGAGGCGTGACTGGAAGACTTGTGAAGCATGAGGTTACGGTGTTGGAGGGTCAGTTGTGAGTAGAAAGCGACCCAGCAGCTTTGTCTAAGCCTGTCAAGCGCTCGGCCGAGTGTTTGGCAGGGAACAAAAGTGATGGTCAAGATGCACGAGCACTCTGTATACAAAGATCAAAAGCAGACTGATGCCAAAGATCTGCAGGAGTACTTTGCCCACCTGCATAGGTGTGTTACTGGCAGTACTCTCTCTTTCCTCTCTTGATGCCTCAACCAGCTGACTCTTCTTATCACAACTTTGTTCTGGCATCCTGCCTGGCAGTTAATGTGCAGGATCATGTCCTGCACAACACTCCTGAAAGCCCTTCAAGTGCTTCATTCCATCCTGAGGATCAATTGTTGACCAACTTTTCAATTCCCAAGAGGATCAAGCAGTTGACAGTAACTGGGGAGTGCACTTGACCTTCCTTATGCCACACAAACCTCAGCCACATTTCATGGGGAGTCATCAAGCAGGAATATGCCTAGCACAAGGGCTGCTCATGCTGCTACTGGGCAGGTACAAGCAGGGATGGATGTTGACCGCCATCAGTGACTTGACGGCTCAGATACTTGTAGCGCCTTCTCAAGCAGCAAACCTTGTTCAAGGGGTCTCTCATCTCTGTAGCTTCCTCTTTACTGTCAGCGCGACTTGTGTGGGACTCGATGAGAGCCTAATGACCTTGACAGACCACCCGATGCTCTACAAATCTGACCTCTGGCAGGACAGTCTCAAATTTGACAACCTTGTTGACTCTTAGCGCCAGCATCTTCCGTTCCATGCTCTTCTGACTTTAGTACTCGCGAGTGTTAGAGACGCTGCCAAGCGCGACGCAATCTTTGAGGCGCTTCTCCACAAGGAACGCCTGGAGGAGGCGTGCAAAGTCAACAAGATCAAGGAGTTGGCTTTGGAGCTAATGAAGTCTGTGAGTCTGATCAAACCCGACCTCGTTTTCGATCATTTCCTTCATGTGGGCAGGGGCGCGCAGCCCTCTTGGGCAAGTTGCTAATCCCACAGCTTGCCTGAAGTCTGCACATTTGGGAGTAGAGTTCTTGCACTTCAGCGTCTTTCTCCAAGGTCAGCTTGCTCTGCTTCGAGACTGCATAGCTTTGAACCCTATTCTGTCTCTTTCTGCCTGTCCCACCTTTGGAATAAGACCTAATCGCAAAACTCTCCGTCACGACGAGGCCAGACGGGCGTGAGGTGCTGCGCTACCTTTCACCCGTCAATCGACGCTTTGGTTTTGAACCCCTTCTAGGCTTTGCGGCGAGCTGAGCTGCTGGCACTGCCATCACTAGTGAGCTTTTGAGAAAGTGCCTCCACGCCACACTTGGGCACTTCGTCCAGAGCGACCGCTACCCACACACCTCCTTGCGTGCCTCTCTGAAGCTTCACGACAAGGAATGGGTGGACCAAGTCTATGGAATGTGACGAAGCTTTGCGCGACCCCAGAACGTCTCTTGGCTTCTTCACTACCACATTCTCCCCATCAACACCTCGAAGCAAAGGTCTCCTGCCCCAAACACCTTTTTTCTCTCAAACGCCCTGTGACTTTCAAACTCGACAAGAGTGGCAACATGGAGACCAACATGGAGACTAAGCCCGCCCTAAAGACCGTGCGCATTTTCGCGTGGCACACGAATTATGCCACGGAGGCGGTTGACAGCCGCCCACAGCCTCCCACTGAAGTGAGTTACGAGTTGTCACGACTGTCCTACCAAGGGAGAGCGGCGTCTCATTGCAGATGCGTTTGTGGGAGGCAAGGTTATATGTACATGCATGAGCGCGTCTGCATCACAGCGTAGTCGAGAGTCACGAGCGTTGTCGAGCTTGAGAGCAGATGTAGGATGTTTGAAACATAAAGTGCCAAGTGCCGCATCATCAAGAGGATCATCATGTGGAATGTAGAATTGGAAATGTGCGCAACAGACTTGATCAACTGCTGATGCAACTCTTTGCTTTCCTCTCATTTGTCTCTACACCAATTGCAAGCAGCCACAAGCTCCACTTGAGAACCCAGTGTGCCCCTTCCAATGCAAGGCACTCTTCACCAAGCTCCTCAAGGAGGAGCGCAAGGCTGAGGAGAAATGCAAGGACCACATCAAGAGGTTGCCAAGGACCTCGCTTTCTCTGTCAGTCTTTTCAATTAGACCATCACTCCCCGTTGTCTGTACAAGATGCCAACACCAGTGTCTAGGCTGCTCCTCTCTCTTCTTCAGCACCGCTTCAGAGAGCGCTTGGCCTCTACGACGGCAGCACCGCCCAGGGATCGAGCCCAGGCTCGCATGCGGTCTTCAACGCACCGTCTACCCACACCACAACGTACAATTACGTCACCTACGCAGGTAGGTCTCCATCACCAAACCCACCAAGCAGTGATGGAGGCCAGCTGGGCTTGCACTTTCAGCGCCTGGGTGGGGGACCTTCCCACACGTAGGATTGAGGAGAGCATCGGCTGATGAGGTGAGTGAGCTACTCGCAGATGACAACGACTGGAAGGTAGCACTGCCCAGCGATCGAGCCCAAGCTCACATGCGGTCTTCAACGGACCGTATACCCACACCACGACGTACAACTACGTCACCTACGCAAGTCGCTCTCCATCACCCAACCCACCCAGCAGTGATGGAGGCCAGCTGGGCTCGCATTTTCAGCGCCTGGGTGGGGGACCTTCCCACACGTAGGATTGAGGAGAGCAATGGCTGATGAGGTGAGTGAGCTAGCTGCACATGACAACAGCTGACTCCCACACATTCATCTGACCACCTGTTCTCTGCGACAATGTCCCGAACAGGTTCAAGATCCTGCTCGTCCTCACCAAATCCCCAACTCTTGTTCTCCTACTACCTTGTGACTAACTTTGGAGCAAGAACTCTCGCGCTTTTCAATGGTGCTCTCAGCATGGCAGAAGTGGAAGGAGTATACGGTGCGCTTGTGTGGGCTATGTTGCTGGATGTTGATTTTGGTTTAAAGGCGTGGTGATTGACTGTTCAGGGATGCTGAGAAGTTGTGATTCTCAAAGGAGAAGGAGAACAGACATTTGGGGGCCAAGGGAAGGTTGTTTGGCTCAGCCATTTCATGGGAATCTGAATGTGGAAGGTCTCTTCCAAAAGGCATGCAAAGGGGTTGCTTGAACGTTTATTGGGCGCAGGAAGACTGACCAAGTGAGTTGCTTTCTCCCAGCTGGAAGTAACTTTGTATTTGACGCTGCCTCTCTGAAGACCTATCACGGCGCACTTGTTGCATAGACGGTGTTGGCCATGTACTTACTGAACAACAGGATGCTACACAAAGATCATTGTTCCTGCACATCTCTTGACCGCGGCTTTTAAGCGAGACAATTTGAGAGGACCAATTCTGACCCAGCAACGGCTTCAGCCACTTCAGCTGCATCTCATGTTGTCGCTCCATACTTTGGGTGCCATGAGGTCTGATCTGAGAGGTACACTCAAGAAGACCCGGTCTGCAAGCATCGTGGCCAAAGAACGCGCTCCAAATGGACGCCGCAAAGACGCCCCAAACATACGTGCTGTTTGCAGTACTCTGCATGCAGAGATCACCTGTGCCTGCATGAGCGCACGCGGCTCGAATGTGAATTTACACCTATCTGCGAAAAGGAGAAGAGTCGATGCGAAGGACCTGCATCCACAACACCATCACACCTCGTCCACTTATCCGCTCTGCGTGCTTCTGACAAGTCTCTTTGCGCGGCTTCAACACTCACGACTGCTTTGGCGAATTCTTCTGACACTCTGATTGAAGTGCCGACTTCATCTACCATTCTATTCGTCATAGCCGGTGCGCCGCTTATCTGGAGGATGACCTCCGCTGCTGCAGCGCAGCTCAAGGACACCTTCTCCATCCGCGTTGCCTCTATCTCCGCTACAGCTCGTCGCTCGGGCGCTCAGACCGCCCTGAGCTTCCGTGGAGCTTCCTATAGGATCCCTGTGTCCTCGTCGATTTGCCCTTCCAGAGCTCAAGGGCAGAGGAGCAGCGCACATCACGATATCCAGTAGCAAGTGCGTTCGCCTCTTCCTCACAACTCCGCAGCAGCCACCGGAAGCCTCTCTCATCGATGGTCGAATTTCAGCGTGCTTTGTGGGGCTCGGAGAGGGCGGAGATGTACCTTGGAATGATGCGAATCCCAGCGGATCGGGTCAAGTGGTCAGCATGGTGGTGGTAGTGCACAGGTGAGTCGCATGAGACGCCCGAGGCACCTTGGAGTGCGGGACGACTTGTGTGACTCACACCACCTTAGCGACTGGTCATCTCCCACCATTGCGTAACCCTGGGAAGTGCAGCATGGGGGGTTGGTCTTGTTGGAGGACAATCGTGAATCAAGGGCACCTGGAGCTTGGGATGCTAGAGTCGGAGCCGAATACCAGTGATGGTGAATCTTACGCGATTCAGGGCAACGCATTGAGGTGCAAACTACGACGTTCTGCACGCAGTTGCTGAGAACGAAAAATGCGGCCCTCATACTGCTTCGGGCTTCAGCTACCAGCTTCGCAGATGCGTTCACGTCAATCGACCTGTGACCCCCGCACAACAAGCCGCGTCAGGGAGGGCACGAGACCAGAATCACGATCGCGGATCGATGTGTACGCATACAGCAGCTCTTGCACTCAAATCGATGAATGCAAGGAGCCCATGTGTCATGCACAAGCTGCCAAGAAGACTTCACTCGGCATTCAATGGCACTACTGAGAAGGAACCGGTGGGAAGCAGTCGATGGTCATGTTCGTAGAGCAGCCACCATCACAGGCAAATGGAGAGGATGTAACCGGATGGCGTGGTAGACACGTACAGGTTCAGACAACACATCTCCAATGCTGCATGTCTATCTACTGCAGAGCGACGGTCATGCGAACCTCGACCTTGGGAGTGGGACTGCTATTCCCATCGATGAGGTGCCCTTGCACTTCCATTCTCGCGAACGACCGCATCTGGAGCAGCGACGCTGCAATCCTCGTCAAGACTTCGGCTCTCTTGTCTGCATAATCTATACTCAGGATTGCTTGAGGCATCGATGGAAGTGGCCCTCCTTCTCGGCACGTGACTGGACACTTGCCGCGTGGTCGAAACGTCTCTCGGTGTGTAAATCCCACGAGCGTCTCCAGGCTCAGCAAGCTCCTCGCACACATATCGCCGACGTCAATGTCATTGACGGGAAGGCAACCACGTCATGGTGTTCTGCGATTCAAAGACTGCCAGTTTCGTTCGAACTCACAGCAACGAGGGCGGCAGCATTGCTACTCTTACCAAATTTCGTCGGCACTCGCGATAAGATCGGTGCCCATCAGGTTGCTTTTTGGGAAATTTCCTCTTTCCGGTGCGCAGACTTGCGATCGGGACTAGCGCAAAGCTGTCAAGCTGTCACATCTCTTCTAAGCCACGAACGAGCGTCTACTGGTGTATTTCGGTCGGTGGCGCAGCTTCACAAGTGCGCTTCGACGATGGGAGGAAGGTCCGCCTTTGCGCTGCGCTTAACCGACGAGATCGACAGGACTTGCTCCAAGCAGCGCTTGCTGGTCCAACCGTATCACCAACCGCAGACCGAAGACCGACTTGGCACAGCACGACAGGATCATAAGCGAGTGGGCTTAGCTCGGAATGTAAGAGATTCGGCCGGCAAGCCGGCCAACGCCAGCAAGTCATCCTCACTACGTCGACACGCACTAGTGTAACAAGTCTCTGAAGTTGTTCCTTGCTGGAAGTTACGGCCCCTTCTGTAGGCTCAACCCGTACCACACGAGCGACTTTGTATTGTGACACCATGCCGCGAACATTTCAGCACTTGCTCAGCATTCAATTCCACCGACTTCGCTTCACTCTCGACTTTCACTGGCAGAATACTTGGCCCGGACGCGGCATGTGAGCTTTCACACCAACGACGCCATTACCTCATCAACCTCGCGTATCTCTATCGCCTCAGGTGCATGCTTGTCAGGGATCCTTTTCGTGGTCGCAATTCCAACGTGTTTCTGGCCACTCGAGGCATCTACCGCGCGTGCCGTGCCCACTTCGCGCGATTATCCGCACTCTCAGTCGTGAGTCTCAGCTACATCAGAAGACGGCGAGCGTCCCTACCTCCCCGACTTTTCCCTCACCCTTTCTCGTTCCTCGCGGCCTCAGCAACGACACCTCGAGTAGCTCGACGATCTCATGTAAATCGCTAGTCAAAGTAGACCTCGTATCTGACCCGCATACGACCAAAGTCTTCCGAAGAGCCAAATACCACAAAATGTAGAACCTCGGCTTGAAGTGGAACTTCCAAAGACCCAATCAAATGTGTAGATGTCTTCTACGTGAGGTATGACGGGCTGCGCCCATTTCCCGATTGAGCACAATCTCAGATCCGTGTGCTCGCCCGATCGTCTACGCTCGCTCATTTGCAGGGCTTCATTGGACAAGCTCTGCGCCGAATCGTAGAAATTCATAGCCCGGCGCTTTACTCGCTTGTGCGCGAGGCCGCGAGATGCTTCGTTCGGACAATGGAGCAACGCTTTCATCGCGCAGTCCAGGCTCGCTCGCCTTGACATCATCTTCGTTTGCTCCGTCTCGTGGCACTCTGCCGTCCAGTTTGCGCTTCCACACGTGCTAGGAAACGAGCACAATCACAACATTTGGTTCGCTTGGTAAAGTTGATATTGCTTGCTCAAGTCTGATGAAGCTCTCTTTTGCGTTTGACAAGTCATGGAGTGGCGCCTCAGCCCTTGATTGAGGCCAGGCGGTGTACGTGTCTTGTGGAACATTGTGTCTTGGTACAATTTGCGAAGTCTGTCGTACAGATGCTGGACGAGACGGATCAAAGGGCTGTACTTGATGTGAAGGAGGAGGGGGCAACGCAAGTGCAGAGCTGCTGTTGTGCACAGGAACCAAGGGTGTGGTCAATCCATACGCCTAGCTGCTCGACAGCCTCGACCAGGTGACCGCCACTGCTTGGTTGCTGAGCATCCTCCCCATCCTCAATATTGGCGCTTTGATGATTGCCAGTACTTGGTGGATCAGCTGCAGGTGTGTTCTCTGCGGGGAATTGCGTGTGTTTGCCCAAGCCCCCAAAGCGGGGACATTCTCGCTGATGACTTTCCCCATCTGATGCTCAGTATTAGCTCTCGGCCCTCTTTGCTTCGCTTGAGCGCATTGTGCACCGTGATGCTCTCAAGGCTCGTGAATTCGCTGAGCAAATTTCGTCCTGCTCAGCTTCACGCGCTTTGCAAAATCAGATCGCACACGCTTCACACCCGCGCGTTTGGAGATGCAAGTCAGCACTTCGTTCGCTGTTGAACGATGATGCCATTTGCCGCGCCTCTGCTCATGAGTTTTTGCTCGAGGAGTCGAATGCCGGCGACCGGGTTTACAATCGAAATGAGGTGGTGTCTGCTAGGTCAATGTGTTGTGGTACAATGTGCGAAGTCTGTCGTACAAGTGGTCGACGAAACGAACCGATGGAGGGCTGCACGTGCGACAGTGGAACAACAAAGGGCCGCGAAGGACCTACTTTGCGGAGGGAAAGCGCGAAAGGCTCGACCCTCTCATCCCGAGCTGCCCCACTGGCCACCGTTGCCCAAGAAGCTCGTATTGAAGCCTCCGGTATTCGCGTTGAAGTTGGACTGATTTTGCTGTCCGGTCTGCTGATGCTGAGCTTGCGGAGAACTCGACTGCATCATTCCGTTCGCACTGTTCTGCCCATGATTCTGCGCCATCATAGCCTGGAACGCGGGCATCATGGCCGCTTGCTGGAGTTGCTGTTGTGGCAGCATCGAGTTCTGCTGCTGCTGTTGTTGCTGTTGCTGCTGGAAGATGGCTGCTAGAGCGGCAGCTTGAGAGGCTGTTGGGTTCATCTGCTGCTGCTGCTGCATCGGAAATGCAACGTTTCCGGATCCCATAGGGTTGCCCATGCTATTCTGAGCGTATCCTTGCAAAGCCATCTGAAGTTGATGCGGGATCTGAGCCTGTGGCGGCTGTTGCTGCTGCGACTGCTGTGGTTGCTGCTGTTGCTGCTGCTGCTGCTGCTGAGCTTGAATCGCCTGCTGCTGTGGGGTGGCTTGGTTGCCGCTCGAGTTGTTTTGCTGCGGAAGCAAGGCACCCAGCTGGCGCATCGCTTGGACGACGAGCATTTGCCTGTGTTGCGGTGGCAATTGATTCAAATTGACGTTTGGGCCGGCGATGTTCTGCATCTGTTGCTGTACCAAACGATTGATCTGCTGTTGCTGTAGCGTGGGCGACTGACCTTGCCCAGGCGGCTGAGGTTGATGACCAGCCTGAGACTGTTGAGGCGCCATCGCGCCAGGCACCCCACCTTGCTGACCCATACCGACCATAGCGCCGAGCTGATGAGGCGATCCCGTCTGCTGCTGTTGAGCCATGATGCTGGACATCATCCTCTGAGCTTGGGCGTGTGCATGTTGCTGCTGAGGCGTGAGCATGTGTGGTTGACCCGGAGCCATGTTCGACTGTCCTGGAGCGGACATCTGAGCAGAATTGCCGGAGTGAGGGGTGCCGGGCAGGTTGCCGATCGAGGGAGAAGCTACGACGGAAGAAGATGGCACCACGGGTGTCTGAATCGGCTGACTGCCAGATGCAGCAGCAGGAGTAGACGGCGTCTGCGGCTTCTTGCTTTTCTTCGTTGCAGAACTCGACGAGGCTTTTTTGCCTGACCCGCTTGCTTCAGTCTTGACGGGAGTGCTCTCCACGCTGCCTGCTCCGGGGGCTGCAGCAGCCTGGGCGGCTGCTTCGGCATCTTGTTTCTCGCGTTGCTTCTTAGAGATCTTTTTCTTGGATTTGGATGTGCTTGCCTTGGCAGCAGCGGCGGCGGCTGCCTCCTTCTCCAAACGCTCTTTCTCTTCCTGCTCTGCACGCTCTTGCTCCTCTTTAAGCTTCGTTCTTTCCTTCTTGGTCAGCTTCTTAGCTTTTTCTGGTGCAGCGGACAAACTTGCGGCCAATGGTACGTCCTTGTCGCTCTCGGCGTCATCCTCATCCTTCTTCTTTTGCGACCGCTTTCTCTTCTTCTTGGCAGCCGGTCTCGACGCGGCGCCTGAGCTGCCTTCACCATTCTCATTATTACCGCCACCATTCGCACTAGCCCCGTTCGGGGGAGCACGACCATTCTTCGCCATTTCATCTGCCATGCGCTTCGCTCGCCAGTCCGAGATGAAGTTCATGCGCGAGAAACTGCTTGGCGGATCCGAAAAAAGCCATGCACGATCAGCACCAAAGGGCACATCGAGCATACATAGCCGTTGCACGCACCTTGGGGCAAACGTAGCGTTTGAAGTACCGCTTAGCATGGCCATAGCTCGATCTTGCTGGTCATCATCACCCTGTGACATGAGCTTCATGATCTTACTTCGTCTAATGCGATCTTCCTCATCCTTGTCTGCCTGCGACGAGTTCCTCTTCGACCCAGCGGCTGGCAATCTCGCCATTCCCGTGTTGGGGTCAATGTCTATAGGACCACCAAAGGTGCCAGAGGGGGCTAAATTAAGCTCCGAGGCTGGGTTGGCAGTGGCATTCATCATGAAGTTGGCGATTCGTGTGGCTTGAAAGTCCGGCTCGAGACAGAGTAATGGGCTCGTCAAGTTCTGAGATGATGAAAGGAGATTTGTGGAGCCGGATGTCAGCCTCCGACGGAGCTGTTTGAACTCGCATGCAAGCTCACCAAGATCTTTGCTTCCACCAGCAACGCATCCTCGTCACTCCACTCCTTGCCTTCGCGCGTGTCCATCAAACGCAAGTCTACCCACAGCGTCTCATCGTTCGGCCAAAGGACCAGCCTGTAGATCTCCACAGTAGCTCCTGTCGTTGGCATGGATGTGCGCCCAGCACTGCTAGAGCCAGGATCTGCTGATGCTCCAGAGCTCCCCGCAGTGGCTGAAGCAGATGTAGACTCGGCAGCATAAGGATCTTGAAAGCCGTACTTTGGAACATCGATTGGTTCGGCCTTGCGCGCCAAGACTGGTCTGTGATCGTGCACCTCGACAATCAGAGCACCTGCGAAGATGGAGTGTGCCGCAAGGCGACGTCAGTCTACGATCGATGTGCCTAGGGGAGCTAGCTGCCGCGCACCTTCATAGAACCGCACGCCGCACGAGTGGATCACATCGAGCAGATCCGGTGGGATCCTCCCAGCTACAATGTAGGTGATGATCGTCTGCGTTGCAACATGGTGGACGTGTAGGTCAGTCACCAGCATGGGGCGACCACAAGCCGTCGGCACAAAGAAGCTGTACGCACCTTTAAAGGAGACTGCAGGGTGAAGGTACCGGACTGTGGTGCGCGCGAGATGTACAAGCTTGCAATCAACGCATGTTTGCACCATCAAGCTTGCGTTCCTACTCACTCCACCATCAAACCTGAATCCTCCGACCCATATGTGCAGCCTGAGAGATGGCGAGAAGGGCGGGGTTCGGTAGCGCTTCAAGAGCTGCCTGGTGGCCCGCACACGATTGTAGACGCAGCCTGTGCCAGACATGGCCGCCTGTGGCGCCCGGTGTCGGCGTGAATCCTTAGAGCGAACACAAGGCGAGTTGATACCGAGAGCAGAGGATTTAGCCGAGAGCTTCCGGCGCGAGCTTGACGTCCGGTGCTGCGACCCTGTCCAAGCAGGACCTTGGGTCGGGAGATCCGGCGAACGAATGAAGCACAGCGCTCGCAGCGCTGCACAAAGCGATGCAGTATTCTTGAAGGGTCACGAGGGGTTTTGATGGCTCTGGAATCAGCGGGGCGCTAGTGGTGAACAACTCGGCGAACAGAAGCTGCTCGAGCGACCGAAGGCTGAGCTGCCTTGGAGTTGGATGGTCGAAGTGATGCAGGTGGGGGTCGGTCAAGCATGCTCGACGCGAGCGTCTCGCGCTAAGGTGCAGAGCGTCACGTGAGCCGTGTATGCGCGGAAGGTGTTGCGCGTGCTCTCGCACGAGTAGGAACGCCCGCGCCTATCATATGCGACGCGATCCTGATGCGGTGCGGGATGCTTGCAGGGTTGCAGGCTGCGCTCGCATCGGCATACAGCGACCGAAATGAGAATCAAGAATGAGAGGCGCGAACACACCGCGCGGGCATGCTTGGCAGGGGCCGATGCACGGGATCGATTTTGGACTTCGCAAGGCAAAGCACGCCATCATGGCAGAGAGGTGTGTGGGCGGGCGCACGCACACGCACACGCACACGCATACACATACGCATACGCCAAAAGAGCATCTCTCGCGCCCTTCAATTCTGCCTCCGTCGACCGTGACTGCTTTCATCTGCTCCTGCGATTCCCGTCCGCCATACCAACCAGGGCCTCAATCAGCAGCAGTCCGCACCGCGGTCTCGCTTGGGGGAAAAAGGTGGCGCCGGATGTATGGATGCGCACGCATCATCCCAGCCGCGTCGCCCACTCGCCGATCTCATCTGTCGCAAGTGCAGCATCTCTCTCTTGCAGCGATCAGTCTGGAAGCGTATATACTTGACCTGTAGAGCATCATCTCCCAACCAAGTCAGCCTTTCCCGCTCCACTCCTACCCGGCGCGAGCGTCAGTCTCAGTCACGGCGACTCTATCCTTCACCGCGAATCTGTATGCCGCATTCGCGTCCCTGATCAGATAACGGGGCGATCCTCGTCCTCTTCGACCATTCGCGCCTAATCCTTGGACCACACTCTCCGGCGTCGTCGAGCGCCATGTCCAGCTCGCAGCTAACCAGGCAGGACCAGCCTTCTGATTCAGCCTCACAGCCTGCACAGGATGGCGGCCCTGCAGCGCTGGCTGGCCGGGCATCCACCTCGTTCAGCCACGACGGGTCCACCTTGGCTGTCACCTCCGCCTATTCACACAGCGCTCCTCCATCTCAGCGCACATCTCCCGTCATTCGAGGATCTCGGCTAGTCGGTAGGCAAGGGGCCAGGGCTCTGCAGGCTGGAATCGCGCCTAGTCAGGAAGCTGGTCACGAAACTCAGGTGGGTGTGCCACCCTCTGGTCTGGTGGCCATCGCAGCCAACAAAGCCTCCGAATCGCTGGGGCTGCGACGTCGCTCGGCTCAAGGCGAGATGTTGGAGGCCAGCACTGGCCCTGGAGAAGCCGGCCCATCCCGAGCTACCTCCGGCAAAGTCGATGTGCTTAGTGCAGATGGCAGCACTGATAGTGAGCGCGGCCCAAGGATGGGCATCGCAGCGCGAAGGCGATTGACCGGCAGCAACGAGAGTCAGCAGGCGGGCACATCATCCGCATCGGCTGCCCCGAGTAGCAATGCACCCAGCTCCAGCCACAACCCAAGCGATCTCAGCATGACGTTGCCTTCTTCCACCTTGGCTGCCTTGCCCGAGCACGGTACTCCACCAGCGCACTCCACCTCGCGCTTTCACCAGTCGTTCACCACCCCCGGTACGCCGGGCTCACCTCGAACAGCACGCACGCCAGGTGCTTCTCCCATCTTGACACCATTCGCGCGTGCTCGAGCAGACGTCGAAGCGGCTGCCGTGATCGCTGCGTTGCGACAAGCTCAGGACCCGGCTCTGGCGGCGCGCATAGACAACGCAGCGGCATACTCGGACTTTGAGGATGGCATTGCAGCTCCCCTTGCGCGTCCTGCCAGCGCCCCTCCCAGAAAAGGTCGTAGCTGGGTCGAAAAGGCAAAAGCTGCCACTTTGCACGGCAACCGCGCCAAGCAGTCTGATGAGATCTCATCCCACCCGGGTCACTCTGCCGGCGTGGTAAAGGACGACTACTTCGCCGAGAAGAGCGTAAATGCGGTTGCCTCTTCGTCTACATCCAAGATCGAGGTCCCAGTCGACAGCATTGTGACGGATCCTTCGCTATTCGCTCTCAGCCCTGCTATGGGTGCAGCTGCTCCGGCTTTGATCGCAGCCAGTACCAACGGGCTCGCAGTCGGCGTCTCAACGTCCTCCAATCGAGGAAAGTCACCCGCCGTCTCGAGGAGGTCAAGTGCCGCTACACTGGCGCCGATTGGCGACAAGGCTGGAATCCGACAAGCAGGCATAAGGCGGGCGGAAGCTCTTCGGGAACTCGACCCGCGTAGTCAAGGCATCATCTTTGCTCTCGTATGCGCATGGGGAGCTGTCCTGTGTCTCGACAGGCTCACCACTTACAGCTATCAGACCATTGCGACCAACTCCTTCGCCGCTCACAGCAGCTTGTCTTTCCTGAACGTCGTGCGAGCTCTAGTCGCAGCCATCGCAGGTCCACCTTTTGCACTTGTTGCCGACAGTCTGGGGCGCGCGAATGCCTTTACTCTTGGCCTCGCCTTTTACGCATCTGGGCATGCGCTACTTGCCGCTAGTCACAACACTGCTGCGTACGCCGGAGGAGTGACGCTCTTCGAGATTGGAGCAAATGGGCTCGTTGTGCTTCAGTGGACTCTCTTGGCGGACATGACATCGAGCAAGAATCGTCTGCTCTTCGTCATTCTCCCTCAGATGCCGTTTCTCATCTTCTCTTTCATCAGTGCCAACATCTATGCTGCAGTTCTGCCTCATTGGCGTTGGGGCGTTGGCATGTTTGCCATACTTGGGCCAGCAACTCTGGTTCCACTCATCGCCATGCTCTACACTGCTGAAGCGTCTGTCGCCACGCCCTCTCTGCCAGCGCCGCCTCGCGCACGCCAACGACCAATGAGCCGAGTGAACGAGCTGCTTCAAGTTGTGGACCTGCCAGGACTCGTGCTACTGTGCGCAGCCTTGTCGCTCCTGCTCATCCCGCTGACACTCGCAGCCAGTACGCCAGGTCGATGGGCTTCTGCGGATATCATCGCTGAACTCTGTTCGGGGGCAGCGCTTGTTGTGGCGTTCGCGGCGTGGGAGCTCAAGGGGGCACGCTTCCCTCTGCTGCCCCGTGCGCTCTTGATGAATCGCACTGCTTGGGCTGGAGCTCTGACGCTTGCCAGCTTCTGGATCAGCAACACAGTCCTCACCGCGTATCTGCCCACATACCTCTACGTCGTTCAGGATACAAGCAATCGAGCGCAGCAAAACATCTCGACGCTTTACTCCTTCACTGTCGCTCTGGCATCGTTACCGGTAGCTCTGACGGTACGATACGCCGGCAGACTCAAGCCCTTTGCCGTTATCGGCATCGTTCTCTTCACCGTCGGGTTGGGAATGATGGTCGGATTCAACGGCAATAGTGGCACCCGATTTCACATCATCGCTGCGCAGATCATCATTGGCTTGGGCGGTGCATTCACAGTGGCTGTGGTGCAAAGCTTAATTCAGGTCAGCGTGCCGCACGCGCTATGCGGACAAAGCATTGCGGTACTCAACATCTGCATCAATCTGGGCGTCGCGGTTGGATCAGCGCTCGCAGGTGCGATGTGGACAGGGCTTTTGCCGGGCTACCTGGCACAGGAGCTCAGACCGATCAGCGGTCTCTCCATGCTCAGCGCCATCTTCTCAGAACCTTTGACTTGGATCACCGAACACGCTGTCAGTACCTCGGAGCGCACAGCCGTCGTCGCCGCCTACGTCAGGGTGTTCCGGTACATGATGGTAGCTGCGACCTCCAACTGCGCCCTCGCATTCGCGGCGGCTTGCTTGCTGGGGAATCCGAAGCTGGGCAACACGCTCAGCACGGTGGAAGGAGAGGATGGAAGTGCACGTTCGGTGAGGGGCGAGTCTGCGACAAGCACAGACGCCAAGAGTATCAACTTGCTGGGGGATGCGTGGCTCGCTCGTCTGGATCGAGTCTTTATGCGCGCCAGCTCCAGACCGGGCGAGAAGAAGAAACGCGGCACGCCCGATCCTAGCGAAGACTCTGCCGCTGCCCAAGCTAGATTCTCCAAAGATGCGTTGTACTCCAAAGCTGCTTCAGCCAGCCCTCCAGGACCGGAGGTGCACGTCGAGCCGCCGCCGGAAGACAACGATGCTCGGCCTGCTCGGCAGCTTTGAGAGACGCACACTCTTCTCCTGTCGCTCTGTGCGCACGTCACGCGTCGTCATATCCACATTTTCATTTTCACCTTGATACATCCATATTCAAACTCGCTCATGTACAAGTCAGCCAGCTATTCAATGTCACAATGCACGCAGGGATGTTGCGTTATCGCTGCAAGGCCTTGAACCGCGTGCGTTGATTGTAGCCGCTCTGACCACTTGCAGCTGGCAGTCCAGCACATCGATGATTGCTGGAGCCAGATTTCTGCAGACGACCGATTGAGCACTGCGCTTCAGATGACCAAAGAAATGCAGGTGAAAAATTGCGCGACTGAAGCAAATTCGGTCGAAAGATCCGTGCGATTACATGACGCTGCACTGCTCCTCGCCGCCTCCCATGCCGGGCATGTTTGCCAGCTCTGGCGGAATGTCACCGACGATCTCGTCGGGTGGGGACCCATTGTCCTGCATCTGTAGAGCAGAGAAGCGAGACGGTCAGAGGATCGAGCTTCGCCAAAAGTTTCAGCCTGACTTGCGGTGCATCTGCGCTCACCTCGTTCATCAATTCGCCGACAGTCGCGCGCAAATGCTTCTTCTGATCCTCCGTACCGTTTGTATATGCTGGATCCTCGAAAGTGCGAACAACCTGCGAGACTATTCTGGCTTGAGCCTGGTAGCGTGATCTGTCTGATGCAGAGATACTGGCAGCTGCAGGCGAGTTGAGGTATTCGGGGTACTACCGGACCGGCCAGCACGGAGACAGGAGCAAAGCGGAGAGAGGATTGAGCTTGTGCGTGCTCGTGCTCGTGCGGCCGGAAGAACGCGAAGCGCACCACACTCACTTTATCCCTCAGCTCTTTCAGCGGCTCGTACAAGACATCCTTACTCATAAGCTCCGCCATCATGCTCTCCATCATCTTTTCAAAGTCAGCTCCACCTTCGCCTCCTTCCCCGCCGCTCAGTGCAGCCATAAGCTTCTCCAGATCGGCCTCTCCCATGCCTCCAAGGCCCCCTCCAGCACCCGTAGCAGACGAAGCGGAAGTGTCAGAGTTCTTTAGTCGATCCATGGTTTGTCGAATGGCATCCTGGAAATTTGCCGGGGGTGGACCAGCTGCTCCGCCGGCTGAAGTGCTGCCAGCGGCACCCGCACCTGATGCGGCAGGAGCACCATCGGGCGGCCCTCCCAAGCCCATCTCTTGCATCATAGCTTCGAACTGCTTCATCATCTCTTCCTCGCTATATTGCGGTTGAGCTCCATCTGCGCCCGGCGGAGGGACAGGCCCGCTGGCGCCTGCCGGTAGTTGACCTGACTGGCTGTCCGTCCCACCTGCTCCTGGACCAGCGCCGCCCAACTCTCGCATCAACGCCTCCATCCCCTGAGCCAGCTCTTTCGCAAAGTCTCCCTCGAAAATATCATCATCATTCTCTTCGGCTCCCGCTTCTGAGTCGTCATCCGGGGGTTTGGCATCAGAGGCAGTCGTGCTGGGGACAGCTGCTGGCTGTGGTGCGGAAGAAGAAGCCTGAGGACCTGAAGCGGACGCAGCTGCCGAGGAGCCTTGATTGAAGTCGTCCAGCACATCTGTGTGGGCGCATACATGGACATAGAGAAGCTTTCAGCACAGTAGCACGTGCAACTCGATGAGGCACCACAATCACACGCTAGTACTTACCATCCAGGTCGTCCAAGTCGTCGGCAGCATCCGCAGAAGCGGGCGGTCTCTTCTCCTCAGTCATCCTGACGTTTAGCGCTGATCTGAAATGCGGCTCTCCGGGCAGTAGAAATTGCAGTGTGCTTTAATGGCGATAGCAGAAGAAAAGCTGGTGAAGATGTGAAAAGTCTTGATTGCAGCGATCGCGGGTGCGGTGTGAGGGTCGCTTCCGCCGGCTTCATAGGTCGCCGGCTGTGCTGCTGCGCGATTTCACAGCCCAACAAGTCGAGTGCGGGGGTGAAGAAGCGGGCTGCGCGTGCGCGTGAGTGCGAGTCTTGAGTCACGAGTCACATTTTGAGTGGGACGCGCAGGCGATCACGTGAAACAGAAATCACGTCGCTCAGACTGTTCTCATCGCGATCCGCTCGAGCTGTGCTGCATTACGGAACATAGGAACAAAAGGCAGGCTGTCATGGCCTACTCCTTCTCATGCGACCATCAAGCATTCACGCACACCACACCAATCTCTTGATCGAAAGCATTCCTTATCGATCGCTCTTCTCATCGCCTATAGGTGCATCACCGGCTCATCCTCGTCATTCGCGCCCGGCACTCAGCCACCTAGGAACACTCGCCACAGCTACAAATAGAGCACATTGCTCCTTCTCATCGCTTCGCAGCCTGCATTTGTACACGGCATGATGGGCACACACACTCACACGATGGCACTTCGCAGCTTTCGAGGTCTTCTGACTCCCAGCTCCGCCTCTGCGCGCGTTGCGACTCCGATCGCCTCGGTCTCGCGCAGACACGCAACTACCAAGGCAGCACCAGCTCGGCCCTCCGCCTCAGCAGCTTCAACGCCCGCAGCATCTTCGCCCAATTCTTCTACTCCTACTCCAGCCTCGACTTCCAACCCCGTCTCGTCTCACCAAGACTTGTCTGAAGCGACCAATGGCGAGCCAGGAGGAACGACTCTGGGAGAGAATTGGGCAACCAGTTTTGCGGGCATGAGCGTTCAACCTTTCGATTCGAGGATCGCGGATGTGCTGGAAGCGCCCATCAAGGAGGAAGACGTGGAGATTAAGCCGGGTGAGTAGCATACATGCGTCGACTTGTCTCTGCGATGTTCCGCCTGACCACCATTTACTCGCTCTCGCATCAGATGGATTGCTCTATCTTCCCGAGATCAAGTACAGACGCGTTCTCAACAGAGCCTTTGGACCTGGCGGGTGGGGATTGGCACCTCGAGGAGAGACCAATGTGGGCGCAAAGATCGTCAGCAGGGAGTGGGCGTTGGTGTGCCTCGGACGGTAAGTCAAGTCGAGTCATCGTGTCTGTCCTCTTTTCGCACTATGCTCACCCTACCTTGGTCGCCCTCTCTCTGTGTGCCGCGCTGACCTTTCGTGATGACAGCTTCGTTGCCACAGCTCGCGGCGAGCAGGAATACTTCGACCCTTCGGGAGTAGCTACAGCTTCGGAAGCCGCCAAGTCGAACGCTCTGGTCAGGTGCTGCAAGGACCTGGGCATCGCGCACGAACTTTGGACTCCGCGATGGATCGATAACTTCAAGAGCAAGCATTGCGTTGAGGTCTGGGCAGAGAATGCTACGACCGGTAGAAAGTGAGTGGTCAAAAGCTAACCTCGTTGGGGCATTTCAACCCTCTCAACGTACACGCCCGCTAAGTCTTTCCTCGGCCAATCTCTCACAGGCGCAAGCTCTGGCGCAGAAAGGACGCGTCTCCATTCCAGTACCCTAACAAGGAGGTCAGGAGCTGACCGCAGCGATAGAAAATTGCCACCTTTGCTGCTGTGTATTTCTTCTACGGGGCGTCTCCAATGCTATGCCGCGTGACTAGCAAAGTGCAGAGTCGAGGTGTGTAATGATGACCCCAGCAGGTGCGCAGGAGCGAGCTGGAATCTTGAGTGGGACCTGCTATGTCGGTCAAGTTGATTGCGCCACACCCCCAGCACCTCGCTGTGCGTCTGGAAGCAGTACACGCATCGCGGTGATCCATGGCGTACGCCAAAGTGGGAAATGTTGCGCTGCTGCGCTACCGCTAAGTGAATCTTGAAGGCCAGCAATTGGCCAGCTGCAGGCCTCGTGTCTGACCGGAGAATCGCTCGGCCAAGCTGAGCTGCCCAAATGTAGAGCGGATACGGTTCAGTGTGAGGATGCAGCATCGACTCTTCGGCCACCGAGCCTGCCCTGAAATCTCCGTGACGCGGGTGTGCTTGTGACTCACCGACATCTTGGAGCCATCCTGCCTCGCTGCTCAAAATTCCTCCACCGTCCTGCGTCGATGAGGCAACGCTACCAGCCTTTGCTCATGATTCGAAATGCTGCCACCCTTTCCGATCTTTAGTCCCCGTCACGCTTCCAAACCTGCGTCCCATCCTTCGTCTGCTCCACCCACGCGACATACTTGAGCGGTAGTACGCCATGTTGGCCTTGGTGCTCGATGCCTGGCGTCAAGACTGCTCCGTTTGAAGCGATCAGGAATGGAATGCCATCCGCGAGCGCTGAAACCAAATCCACGTGAAGAATTAGAGGAGAAGAGGTCCTCATACCTATGCAGGAGAGCAGGTCGAGGGATGCGCGCAAATCAGATGGTGGCGTGTGACTAGATCATCGATCGAGTGCAGACCCAGGCTCTTCACTCACCGCTGATCACGCCACTGCCTGGTCGTCCCGCTGCCAAGTGTATATGCTGACGCTTCATCCGGCTCAGGCCCCCGGAAGATTTGATCAGCTCCCACGCCGCCTTGTTCGTTCCATGCAGCACATACACCTGTGGCCCTGGGTTCTCGTATCCCGGCACTTGAGCGTCGGCAGCAGGACCATTTGATGACCCGAGTGGCGACGCATGTGGAGCAGCAAGAATTGCGAGGTTGTCCAGAGTGAGTCGAGTCATTTCGACATCGACCTAACGCAAAGGAGGAGTCAAACATCAGCACGAACTCGTTGTTGCCTGCACGCGCTCAAAGTTGAGAGTCACGCAGCTCACATTCTGTAAGCTATGACCCTGCACCGCCCTGATCCAATGCTCTCCCTCCTCTTCTCTAAGTTCGAAACGCTTCTTCTCGTTGCTCTGCACGACTTCCTTCACATCTTCCAAGCTGACCTTGCGCCCATCAGGAGGCAACTGTATGCTCTTGATTCTCGACGATTTGAGCACATCTTCCACCTTGACGAACCCATCTGGGCGTATCGCAAGCTTCTCTTTGAGCGCCCCGTGACGCAGCAGCCAGGAGAGCGCTTTGGAGAGGACCACCTCGGGAGGTGCTCCTCGGCGCGAGTCCTTGGGCCGCTTGGATCTGCCTGAGCTGTCTGGGACGTTCCCGACGGTGGAGTGTGATGATGACGCAGTCGTAGTAGATGTGTCTGTCTGCATTGAAGAGCAAGGTGCGCTGGCGGTGCTGCTGCTGGATTGAGGTGTCATGATATGCTGGCGTTCACTCTCGTCGGTGGGATGATGCGGAGCTTCGCAAGCGTCTGAGAGACTGGAATGTGACTGCCCTTTGTGCTCCTGCCAGGCTGCTCGATATACTGCACCGAGTCTTGGGGAGGCGTTGTCGCATTCACAGGGTGCTGAGTCAGTCGTCAGTGGTGATGGAAGAGAAAGCAAGCGAAGCGAAGCGATTGTTTGTCGGGCTTCCCTGCTGCTTGCGTGCAATAGCATGAGAGCGCGTCTCTGCCTTTGCTTTCACGGATTTCCGGATGGCACGCGACGCGTTTGGGTAGATGTGGCTGTGCGCGTTTTCTCGAGCCATACAATCCAACACCGCGCGCGACCAACACCTTGAGCGCAAAGCGTGCTTGTGCGCCGAGACTTGGAGCACTCTGCCAGCGATCGTGCGTGCAAGCTGACAGCGTCGTCATCAGGCATCGAGCATGGTCGGGCACCAGATGAGTGGTGAAGTCTGAATTCGATCTTTGGGTGATGGCTCAATGGGTCATCGCCAACGAGGCCGGAACGCGTGACGAGTGGATGGATGAGTGGTAATGCTGACAAGCCCTTTGTCCGACAAGACTTCTTCCAACACGCCCTCACCCGATCACCCCATCGCCCGTGATCAGCAGCACTTGTGATTCTCTCTCAGCAAGCGACCTTCTGACACTCCATTCCCGCCATGCGCCCCTCGAGCT